ATCTCGGCTCACTGCAACCTCCGCCTCCTGGGTTCAAGCAATTCTCCTGCCTCAGCCTCCCAAGTAGCTGGGACTACAGGCATGCGCCACCATGCTCAGCTAATTTTTGCATTTTTAGTAGAGATGGGTTTTCACCATGTTGGCCAGGATGTTCTCGATCTCTTGACCTCGTGATCTGCCCGCCTCAGCTTCCCAAAGTGCTGGGATCACAGGCGTGAGCCACTGCACCCGGTTAAGCTCATGAGTGGGATTTTGGTTTTGATTGATTTAATACTTAGAAATGAGTTTTAACTGTTAAATGTTTGTAATCTTTTTTATCAAGTGGAAAAATAGTGGCACTAAACATTGCTTCCTTTTTACAGGATGGAGTTCTGGTGGATGAATTTGGATTGCCACAGATCCCTGCTTCATAGATTTGCATCATTCAAGTATATCTTGTAAAACAAACACATATTATGGGACTATCTTTCCAAATTTACCATAACAGATTTAGGTTTCTTTCCTTGCTTTGAAGGAAAGTTTAATAATACACTGCTCTTTTATTTTTTCCATTAAGAGACTCATTGCTTGGGAAATGCTTTCTTTGTACTAAAATTTGATCCTTTTTTTTCTTATGAAAAATGAACTTAGTTTAAAAGTATCTTTGGCTTGTATGACTTGTTTCCATTCATTAATGATAATTTGAAATAAAACTAAGGAAATGGAATCTTAAAAATCTATGACAGTGTAACTCTACAGTCTCAGAATGACTTGGTAAATCGTTAAGACAAAGATGAGATTATTGGGGCTGTTCATATTATGAGTCACAATCCTTTTCTATTGTGTTATTATAGGTTGGTTAAATTGATGGGTTTAGTTGTGTCTTGTGAACAAAACATTACTATGTCCAGTATTGGAATGGAATTATCACTACTGTATCATGAGTGGGTATTTTGATTCTATAGTTCCCTCAGTATTACATCTTGACTTGTAATCAATAATGAATATTTCTTGATATTTAATGTATAGGACATTTATTTATACTCAATAAATATTTTTCAAAAGGATATAATTTTAATATCACTTCAGCTTAAAACCTTTACTGTGGAAACCAAATTTAATAGAATTCTAATGTCATTTCAGCCTATCACTCCACTACAGAAACCAAATTAACCAGTAGCATTGTGAGGAAAGAGCAAGGAACAGTTTGGGCTTGGGCCCTGGGTCTACCATTTACTAACTACTGAGTAGTCTATTCAGCTTCTCTAACCTTCTGTTTTCTTATTAGTAAAATCATGCTTAGCTCACAGACAGCTTTTGTGAGGAATAATTGAAGTAATGGTCATAAGTAACTTGTTAACTGCAACAACAGTCTAGTCTCAAAGGAAGGATTTTTAACAGTAAAAAAGCAATGGCTTCATTCTTTTCTTGGAAGGTGCCTGAAGTGCTACAGCAAGTTCAACTCCTGCCCAATTTCAGAGTCTTTAATTATCCTGTCCTCCCTTCCTCACTCAACTTCTTGCCAGCAGCATTCCCCCTCCAGCCTAGCTGGGTGCCTCACACTGTCATCTGTACCTGACTCTCATGTGTCTGCAGATCAAACCAATATGCATTTAGGAACACCAGCTTTGTAGAAGTCTCTGTACCAGCCCAGGAGTTAGTGAGAACAATCACATTTCCTCTCTTCAGGAGTTCACTCTTGTCTAGTTATAAGTGGGGATAAGATAACATATGTAACCCTCTTCCATCTCCAACCTCACCTTCTCAAGAAGCCTTCCAGAGGGAGCAAACATACAGTATTCATCATTACCTTCTTGAAATCTTTCTTGGCTTTTCTGAGTTCTGAGTTTTCTTCTAATCTGACCCACTTATTCTCTTATATGAACACCTCTTAACCCCTTGAATATTTCTTTCATTATAATTCCAATCTGTACTCCCCTTGAGAAATCTCACACCCACTAACTATTACCTATGCACTAATGACTCAAAATGACTGTCACTAGCCTAGCCTTCTTACCCTTATTTTCACTTCTGGGCATTTCCATTTAAATGCCCATCATTACCTAGAATCTAACATTTCCAAATTAAGCTCATTATCTTGAAGTTCACTGTCAGCAAACATTTCTCTTTGATTTCTTGTCTTGCCTAGTGTTACCAGTGACTCATATATTGCCCGTTTTAGGGGTGATATTTAGCCCTCTTACTAGATTGTTAGTGCATTGGATACGAGTGAACCATCATTCTACCCAAATCTCTATTCTCCTGGCTTTTGTGACAGTACTCTCCGGTTCTTCTGTTCCTCTAACTATTCCCTCTAAGGCGTCTTTCTGAAATCCTCAACTCTCTAACTAATGTTACTGCTCCCTCTGGATTCTAGCTTTTACCCACAGAGACTTCTTTCTCTGTTCACTTTTATTTAGTGATCACAGCTATTCTCAGGGCTTTTTAACTGCTAACTTCCAAATCTATACTTCTATCCCTGAGCTTGCCCCTGAGTTTCAGAATCTTATTTATAGCTAGCTTTTGCCTATTATTTGGATGTTCCAGAAGCTCACAAGCCATTTGAATGATGTTTCAGCCATTCAGCATTCAAATGGCTGAAACAGCCTATCACCTTTCCTCAGACCTGAATCTCCTGCTTCTGTTTTCTTTGTCTCATAATGGGAGCTATGAGACGGAAACCACTGTCTCATGACAGGAGGCTGTGAGGCTAATGGAACCATCATCCTCCTATCATTCAAAGCAGAAAGCTCTTGAGTTGTACATGATGCCTACATTTTGCCTACACAGTCAATTATCCTTAAACACTGCTTTTAATCCCTATTTATCAAATCCAGCTCCTCCTCTCCTTCTCTCAACTCTCCCTGGCCTAGATATCTCTCACATAGTCTTTTGGAATAAATGTCTTCTCTTCTTGCACAGTTTCACTTCCGTGAGTGCACTCATCACATATTGCTACTTAAAGTCTTTAATGGTTCTCTAATACTTCCAGCAGGCCATAAAAAGCTGCCAATGACCTGGCCTCTGCCTATCTGTAATGATTTATTGCCTAGTCTTTTCAGAACAGCATTCTCTTTCTTTCAAGGGAACTACTCCCCCATTTCAACTATGCGATTATTGGGAACATGCCAATATTAGAGTAGTACTGTCCTTACCCTTCCAAGCTATGGACGTGTGTATGTGATCACGCTGTGTCTATCAGAGTTCATACCACAAATTTTCTAAATGGAAAGTAGAGAAAATGCTTTTTCCTTTAAAAAAAAAAAATACTCTTTTACTCTGTCAGTTTTGGAGGTGAAGCCAGAGAGGAGCCAAGATGAGAGACAGAATGAAAGATTCTCCATGGCACTCAGCTATGAATTCTGATCCTTGAAATTCCGAGTCTCTACAACTCTGTTCTGTGAGGTATCTGAGGATTCTGCAAATAAACTTAACCCCCTTTTTTGCTTAAAGTAGTTGGCATTGGGTTCCTGTCACTTGCCAGCAAGAGATGGAATAATTGCTCTGTAGCTTGTGTCATGTCACACTTTTCAATTTTATGATCTAGTAATTGTTCTGCATCTAGTCCCCCCACATCTAGTCCCCGTACAGTCATGACTCCTTACCTCTGTTCATAGTTTCTCCTACCTGAAGCTTCCTTATGCCTTTGTCATTTTGCTAATTCTTCCTGTCCTGGGGAAAGCCCAAAGGGCATGCCATGGTCTGTGTCAATACCAGTGAATTAAAGGAAAGTGGAGGGAGGGAGTCCTGTAGCAGAAAGCCCCAGGCACTACAGAACCTATGATCATCACTCCTATGGCTACCGCCAGACAACTATTATTTTTTACCTGTTAACTATTAGGAAAAGCACAATTGAGTGCAGGTGGTCTTAGGTTTTATTTTAACTGTTAACCATTAGGTCAATATTTTACCTGTTAACTATTAGGAAAAACACAATTGAGT